TGCCAAACATGCTGTGCCCGTAGTCTCGACAGCCTTCCAGCCCGAGACATTACATTTCCCGACACGTGAGCTCGCCATGCATGAGAGCGCGAACGCCTCAAGAAACCCAGGACAACCAGCCAACTTCGACGCTACGGCTTCTACTCCAGCAACCAACCCAAATCACAAGTGAATGCACTCCCACCTGACTAGAGGGCTCCACTGCTGGCCTGGGATGGACCAGTATGATCAGTTGTGGCTTAGCCCTCTTGATACGATGTTCAGTGCCTGCTCCCCGGCTCGCTGAATAGTGCAGGATCTGCTTGCCCGTGTCTCCTTTCCTGGGTCAGCGTTACTGGGGGAAATGACGTGGCCCCCAAATGCTATCATACGTCGCATGATTAGTCCACAGACACCACCAGACCCCCCAACCCGAGTGTGCGGGAGCAAGAAGGAGGAAGAGCGGCAGCAGCTGAAGCAGGAAGGAGGGACAACTCCCAACCTGCTCATCTGTGTCCTCCTTAGAGAAACCAGCAGCGGCATAAACATAAACAGTCAGAGGTCCACGCGGATTCCCTGGATCGGCGCTGACACCTCCCTTCTGGCACGCGGAGTGCGCCAGGAGCGGTGCTGGAGGCGCCGCCCAAGCGGAGGGCCCGCGCAGATCGGAAAAATCCGCGCGGAACTCCTAAAACGTATACTGCATACCTCCGAATCTCAACATAATCATGATTATTCGCCATCGTATTACTATTTCCCCAAGTGTTGTTGTTCTGCGATGTCTTCTTGATCGTCTTGCTATTACTAGTATTATTCGACATCAACGCTGTCAGCATTGTCATTATTCGTGCTGGTGTTATTACTGCTAGTATGAAAATTACGATTGGCGTTCGTAGTAATATAATGTTTCTTATTCCTTCCTCATTTCATCCCTCCTCCTCCTCAGTCATCATCCTCAAGGCAGCGGCACGCAGAGGCCTCGCCACCCGCTCTTTCTCTTTCTTGGCCTGCTCTTCCTGCTCGAGCAGGCGCTCCCTGTTCTCGCGGTCCGTAACCTGTCGGAGCCCCACGAGTCGGCGGAGCGTGAGGAGAGGCGAACAGGACGGCAGAGGGGAGGAGCGGAGGCGAGGGCAAGCTCGGAGCGCTTGCGCCAGAAGGTTTTCTCGCCGTTTTCAGCTCCCAGGGGCCCTCGCCGACTCGGATTGTAAAACAGTCCAGGGACCGCATATCGAGAAAAAATGATATCGCATGTCTGGGGAGGGCCTGGTGGAGGAGGTGGAGGAGGGGGAGGAGGAGGTGGAGGAGGGGGAGGAGGAGCAGGAGGAGGAGCAGGAGGAGGGGAGGAGGAGGAGGAGGAGGAGGAGGAGGAGGAGGGAGGAGGAGGAGGAGGGAGGAGGAGGAGAGAAGAAGAAGGAGGAGGGAGGAGGAGGAGGAGGGGGAGGAGGAGGAGGAGGAGGAGGAGGAGGAGGAGGAGGAGGAGGAGGAGAGGAGGAGAGAGGAGGAGGAGCAGCAGGAGGAGGAGGAGGAGGAGGAGGAGGAGGAGGAGGAGGAGGAGGGAGGAGGAAGAGGAGGAGGGGAGGAGGGAGGAGGAGGAGGAGGAGGAGGAGGAGGAAGAGGAGGAGGTGGAGGAGAAAGGAGGAGGAGGAGGAGAAGAAGAAGGAGAGAGAGGAAGAGGAGGAGGAGGAGAAGGAGGAGGGAGGAGGAGAGGAGGAGGAGGAGGAGGAGGAGCAGGAGGAGGAGGAGGAGCAGCAGGAGGAGGAGGAGCAGGAGGAGGAGGGGGAGGAGCAGGAGGAGGAGGAGCAGGAGGAGGAGGGAGGAGGAGGAGGAGGAGGAGGAGGAGGAGGAGCAGGAGGAGGGGAAGGTCTGGGGAGGGCCTGGGCCTGGCCCAGCTTGTCCTTCGCCCCTGCGCTCCGAAGGGGCCCGCTGCCCTCGTGCGCCTCCCTCTCCCCCACGCCAACTGGACGCCCCCCCATCGCCTGACCCCGCTGCCGCCACATCGCCCGTCCTCCCGACCAGCCGTGCTGACCAGGAACGAGTGCGACACAATAACAGTACTGAACTTGCTGTCAGTAGCTGGGCTGGCGGACCACTTCAGCGTGATCTGGACCATGGTCCAGGCCGAGGGCTCCGGCTCCGGCATGGACAACGGCGCCTACCAGGAGGGCGCCGGGCTCGTGTCTCGGGTCCACTCGGAGGCTTGGAGATGGGCACCAACACCAGCACGGGGGGCGGCATCCACCGGGGGGGAGACGATCCTAGATTCTGGTGTTGGTGGTGATCTTGCGGCTGCCTGGAAGCCTGGGTGATTATTGCCACCACGACCGAGATCGGGATCATCTTCCCCCGGTGGAGGCACACCGCCGATGCTGGTGCTGGTGTCAACCTCTAGGCCTCTGGTTCCCTCCCTGGCTCGCCCATGCGGACGCGTCTGCCTCCGCCTTTGGCCGTGCCGCGCACCCTGCGATCCGACACGCAGCGAGAAAACCACACAACATCGTAAAAAACCACGCCCGGAGCCCCAGACCCCGTCTTTGTGCGTCGGCTGTGTGACGCGCCCGGCGGGCCTGGCACTGCCCGCGCAGCCTCCTCCCGCGCGGCCGCCACCGCGGCCTCCTCCCGCGCAGCCAGCTGCGGCAGCTCCAAGCGGTCTCCCAGCCCGGAAGGGGAAGGAGCAGCCAAACAAACGCCCGCGCCGCCCCCAAAACATCCCACGTCGTAAGGAACGCACGACGTCGGCCCCTGGAGGTCCGGAGGCCTTCCCCCAGACCGGCTGCTCGCCCTGCACCGCTTTCTGACGGCCCCGAGGCCCGCGAGGGCCTCCAGAGAGGCACCAAAGAGCCCAAAATCCCCCGTCGGGCCTCCCTCGCGACGCCGGAGGTCTGGGCCCCGCCCCTCCCGCCCCTGCCGCCCGCGACGCCGCCCCGCCACGGGGTGCAGCGCCGGCGCCGCCGCCCCCGGGCGCCCTGCGGCGGCCCCCGCCGGGGGAGATCGCTCCCGGAAGCCTGGAGCCCGGAGCGGGGCCGAACCTAGGCGGTGTTTTTCGTTCTCGTGATGTTTTTGTTTTTCCCTCGTTCTGTCCTCCACGTTTTGTTGTTGTTTTTGTTGTTTTTGTCCCTTGTTTTGTTTTTTCGTTTTCGTCATGTGATTGTTTTTCCCCTGTTATGTTTTTGTTGTTCGTTTTCCCTCGCTGCTGCACAGCGAAGTCGAGACGAGAAGGGCCCACGAGATCGCCCAAACGCCGCTCAGGTCCAGCCCTGGCCCAGCTCCGGTGTCATGACTCGAGGGCGCAGCTGTTTGCTCTGAGGTCGGGCGTGTCCCCCTACAGGCGGATGTCGCACGAAAACTCAAGAAAATGTGCAACGGAATACCCCAAAATGGTCCAACAATGATCGACGAATCGTCCCCAGACTATTTTTACTATTTGGGAATATTCCTCCTGTAGAGGGACAGGCCCGACTCAAATCTTGTGCTTCAGCCGCCTTCCGCCGGCCTCCCGCCGGCTCCCGCCGGCGGAGGCGGCCTCGCTTCCCTTCCGCCGACCTGCCGCCACCCTCCCGACGCCTCCCGCGGCGGCAGAGGTGACGACTCCTCCGCTCCTCGAGGGCGAGGCCGCTTTTGGGACGCCTGGCGCGAGCGCGCCCCCCCTTCCCCTCATCCCTCTTCCGCGGCCGCCTCTTTTCGGGGAGACGTAAGACTCGGGTATGGAGGACTCAAGTTGGCCTGACGGGGCCATCATGAAAATGACGAGACCCAATCTGAAATTTGACGCGAGCTCCCGCTGCAAACATCCCACGAAAACTGGACCGTCAAAATCCAGGACGCGCTCGTCAAAAAGCGTCGGCAAACCCGAGCGCCGGAGTACTCGAGTCTTACGTCTCCCCGATCTTTCTCTTCTCCTTCCTCTCGCATCCGGGCCCACCGGCAGCGCCGCTCTCCTGGCCTGCCGGGCGCACGTGCGGACCGGCCCTGCCGCGCCGCGACGTAAAAACGTCTGGGGAGGGAGGGAGGGAGGTTGAGGGCAAGCTAGGGGCGCTCGCGCCATACAGCTGGGGCGTTGACCTAAGGAGCCCTAAATAAGGAACGAGGCCCCTTCTTCCCCATAAGTTAAACTGCGACTTCCCATGGAAAACCTCGGGAAAACCTGAGGCAACCTGTGAAACAACTAAGGAACACGGAGCTCTTCCCAAACGAAAAGGGTTCCTTGTTCAGCGCCCCGACTGTACCCGACATCCGGAAGCTCCCTCCCGTCCCGTCCCGTCCGCCGACGGGTGTCATGGCCGACGTGGAGCCCCAGGAAGGGCCCCCCATCGTGCCATGCGCGGTCGGAAATGGGAGCAGCGTCCATCGGAGGAGGGGATGCGGATGAGCAAGAGGATGAGCAGGAGGAAGAGGGTGAGGATGGGGGAACAGGCGCGAGGAGGGGGGGGGGAAGGGGAGGGCATGCGATGTCCAGATTTTTTCTATACTAGGTCCCCGAAGGTCCCGAACCTCTGCCCAGGCCCGGTTCTTCCTCCCGAGCCGCTCTTCTGACGGTCCTGGGGCCTAGCGAAGGCCTGGAGGCCGAAAAGAAGCAAAGACGTCTCGTCGTGATGTTTTTTTTCACGACGCGAGCGTCTGGGGGAGAGCAGAGGGGTGGGGGGGCGAAGGGAAGCGGCAAAGAGGAAGGCGGAGGGGGGGGACTCGGGCACGTGCGCGTGTCAGACACAACGCTGTTCGCGAAGGCTGCTGGATAAATCACCCATGCAAGGCCTGCACGTGAGCCCCTCACACACAGAGCATGCACGTGACGCAGCCTCCCTGACCACTGCTTCGCGCTGCCGGTGCGAATATGCTGCGGCCTGTGCTGAGAATGCTTCGATGGGCCACCCACTGCGTGCCTGGAGTTAAAAGATCAAGCTAGAAGGGCCACTGTACCCCCGCATGCCGCTCAACTAAGCGCTTGCAGAACAGTATGCGGATGACGCTCTTGCAACTTGGGACAGAAACGACACCCCATCTCATCGTCACTGCCCGTAAGTAGTTGATTGTAAAGCCTCGCTTGCTCAAGCCCTTCGAACGGGCATGCGATACGCACCAGTCCGCTTGTAAGTGCCACCCCCAAATACACAACTCTGGCGATGCTGTAGTGATGAAAGTTTTACTATACATCAACCGCACTGCTGGGAGCGTGAAGCAGCAGACCTGACATTGCTCCTTCTGGGGGTGGAAGGGGGGACACGGCGAAGCCAGCCAGAAAGCAGGAATCACCCAATTATGAATGACTGGAACTTGGACTCGGGAAGAGAGGAACGCGGTGGGACATCGATTGCAGGTGATGGCTGGCGCTCATAGGCTTCTGCGGCAACTCACGGCAGCCTACCATACCATCTTGTTGGCTCTTGCGAATCGGCGCTATTCTACGCCCGTCGACGCTAATCAGCGCTAGATCGACGCTAGATCGACGCTAGATCGACGAAAATCGACGAAAATCGACGCGAAAAGACGCGAATCAACGCTAAATCGACGCTACCTAATCGACTACCAGACGCTAGTCGACGCTGGCGCACTGTCAAAACGAAATTACGAGGGTATGCAAGGCTCCCACCGTTTGCTACCGCAGTACGCCGAAGGAGTGCCAGCCTGTACCGGAAACGTGGCGCGCGGGGGCGACAGCGGGGCCTTCCGTCTCCTGTCCTCCACGACGCTCCAGCCGCCGCGGTCCTCGGCACCAAAGCACCGCAACTCTGAATCGCAATCGCAGAATGTCCGGGCACGACGGAACGCGTGCGCTTCTGGGCGTGCCCAGCTCGTCAGCCAAGACCGACCCTTGACCCCAGGCAGGGTCCAGGCAGCTGGGTAATGGCTGCGCCATAGGACGCGGCTCGTGAGTGCCTCGATCTCGTCCCTCCCCGCTCCCATGGCTCCCCAATACCATGCATGCCTTCCTCCTTCCCGCCCACCGTGATCACCTGCCCTGGTGACCCGTTCTCCCTCTGCCGCCTCCGGGCGGAGACCCCCTCTGCGTCTCCGAGAAGGAGGAGGAGGAGGAGGAGGAGGAGGAGGAGGAGGAGGAGGAGGAGGAGGAGGAGGAGAGGAGGAGGAGGAGGGGGAGGAGGAGGAGGAGGAGGAGGAGGAGGAGGAGGAGGAGGAGGGAGGAGGAGGAGGAAGGAGGAGGAGAGGGAGGAGGAGGAGGAGGAGGAGGAGGGAGAAGGAGGAGGAGGAGGGAGGAGGAGGCCAGTTGAGACAACGGCGGATCGCCAGAGACACGTACGCTCACACGTACCTCACGTGTTGGCCGGCAGCGTGGGCGGCAGCGCGCGCGCTATCTGGCAGCCGGCGGGCCGAGCCAGGACTGCGCACACACACACACATACATGTATATATGTACATACATACATACATATATACATACCTACCTACCTACCTACCTACCTACCTACCTACCTACCTACCTACCTACCTACCTACCTACCTACATACATACATACATACATACATACATACATACATACATACATACACATACACATACACATACACATACACATACACATACACATACACATACACATACACATACACATACACATACACATACACATACACATACACATACACATACACATACACATACACATACACATACACATACACATACACATACACATACACATACACATACACATACACATACACATACACATACACATACACATACACATACACATACACATACACATACACATACACGTACACGTACACATACACATACACATACACATACACATATACATACACATACACATACATTACATACATTACATACATGCATACATGCATGCATGCATGCATACATACATACATACATACATACATACATACATACATACATACATATATACACATAAGTTCGTGAAGAAGACGGCGGCCGCGGAGGGAAACAAGTATAGCATGGGCCGCGGGAGTTGAGGAGTTTCGCACACGCGCGTCTGCACACGGCCAATTCGCTCATAGACGAGTCAGGATGGGAGGTCCATCAACCTCCGATGGAGGAGCCCGGGAGCCCGAAAACGACGAAGAACCTCAGGACCCGTTTCCTTCGTGGCGAGCTGTCGCCTCGACTGCGCCACCGCCGCCGTCCGCGGGTGCCTCGTAGCTCTATCCGTGCACGCGCACACATGTAATTATGATGCTGCCTGGCGGAGCCGTGCCTGCGCGGCGCGCGCGCACGCGTGTGCCACATGTCCCGCGGCGGCGCCCCCTGCTGGGGCTCGGTCTGCCCAACACCGCCACCTCAGGGCACACGGTTTGGCGGCGCGCAAAAGGGGGTAGGGGGAGTGGGGAAGGCTTCTTAGAAGAACCCTGCTTAGAAGGCCTGGGCCTTACGTCTATAGAGAAGGCCCGCGCCTTCTAAGAAGCAGGGGTGTTTCTAAGAAGCCTTCCCCCCTCCCCCTACCCCCCTCTGCGCGTTGCCGAACGGTAACGCGGGCCACGGATCCAGAAACATGGAGCAGGGGCCACCGGGTCCAGAGATCGGGGCAGGTATCCCCCGAAACGTGCAGCCGGTGCCGCCCGATCCGGCGACGGAGCGCGTCGACTCCGCAAGGTATGCGCACACGGGACCCGTCGCTAAGCCAGGCGCCTGGGCCGATGGCTGGGGATACCCGCCTGCGCCCTTCTCTGCGCCACTCGAGGAATCCCCTGGCAGCACCCTCTCAGCCTGCCGCCCGGCGGGGACGCTGCGGCAATTCACCATGGGGGAAGCGGGCCCCGGACCCCGGGGCCCTCCCCCAGGACCTCCCCCCAGGACCCCTTGTTCCTCCCGAGTTTACCGGCCTCGAACTTCTCCCTATCCCTAAGCTTGACACGCCAAAAGGCGATGGCAATCTTAGGGACGCGCCCTCAACAAAAAAACTGAGGGGATCCCTAAGATCGGCATCGTGATGAGGAGATGCCCAGCATAGGGATAGGGATATGTTCCAGGCTGGTGACGAGTCCTTCTCTGACAGTCCCGGGACCCGTGGAGGGCCCGACCGCCCCACCTGCACCGACACGCCCCGGCCTTCGGTCGCCGCCGCTGCGGCCGCGGCCAGCGAGCGGCCGCGGCCCGCCCCTCGCCCCGCCCCGCGCTGGCTGGGCCGCGGCGCCGCTCCGCCCTGCCCGGGCGACTGCCCCTCTAGCGCTCCTCTCGCCTCCCCTCCCCTCCCCTCGCTTCCCCTCTCCTCCCCTCCCCTCCCCTCGCCTCCCCTCCCCTCCCCTCGCCTCCCCTCCCCTCCCCTCCCCTCCTGGTCGTTAAGGGCGCCACAGCACGGGCCCTCCCCTTCCTTCTCCACGGCCGCCGACGAGCGCCGAGCTGGGGCCGCCGGACGGCAGCCTGAGGCCTGCGCTCCCCCCGGAGTGTCCTGCACTCGGGGGGCGAGACGGAGCTCGACGCCGCGGGTACACTGAACTCGACGCCTCGGGCATCTAGAGCCTTGACGACACGCGCTCCGTGGCCCTCCCCCCGGCCTGGGTGGTGCACGGCTGCTTCCGCCCCCCTCCCAGGGACTCTTCGCCTCCCCCCCCCGTGCGCCGAGCCGCGGCTGCTGCCTCCAGGGCGTGCCCCGTGGAGGCCGCCTCCTCCCCGCCGCGGGGCCCTTGCGCGGCGTGCGCGCACGCGCGCGGCGTCTCTGATCTTCCCGCCGCTCGGCTTGTCGTGCTCCCGGTCCGTCGCCACACCCGCTGCCGCGCACTTCGGCCCACGGAGGCGCGTCGGGAGCCGCGAGGACGCCGCAGGCTTCGCTGGCGAGAAAGTATGGATATGATCCTGGCGAAGGGCCCAGCCATATGCAGCTGTGAGTACCGCAGCTCTGCAGATCGTCTTCGGTGGAGCTCCCCGTGGGGCCACAAGACGCGTGAGGAGTGTGCCGAACTGGGGGGGAGAGCTGCCTGCGAACCCTACCACTGGGGCCTTCGGTGGAGCTCTCTATGGGGCCACGAAACGTGTGAAGGGAAAGGAAGGGCATGCGAAGAGCAGAGGCAGGGATTGGAGGAGAGAGCAGTGGAGGATGAGGCGGAGGAGGAGGAGGAGGAGGAGGAGGAGGAAAGAGGAGGAGGAGAGGAAGAGGACGCGGGGCGCTCTCCTCAAAACGAGGACCCAACACCAGAGGATGGTGGAGAATGAGCGCCTGCGTGTGTGCATATGCGCGAGCGCCTGCGATCGCGCGTGCCTGTGTGATTGCATACATGTGCACGCAAGTGCAAGCAGGCATCGCACGCGACAAACAGAAACGTGCAGCAGGACAGGGACCACCGTGCAAGACCCACCACACAGAATGGCCGCCACCCGTGCCCCCAGAGCACGTTGGCGCGTGCTACAATGTCCGCTAACCTATTTGGTCAAGTTATTGCAATCTTCTCGAGGTGCCCCCCCTCGTCGTGCGCCCGCCTGCAGGATGGCGCCCTCTGGCACGAGCGCAGACCAGAGAGCTCCAAAACAGCCTCGAGACCCGACCAGACGGCCTCCACACCAGCCTAGCAAATCCCAAAGACCCCCCACGCGCTACAGGATATGAATTAGAAGCTCCGCAAGGCGCCTCAGGAGGTCTGCCGGCCCCCTAATGGGACCACCAGGCTGTAGGCCGAAGTTGCTGCTCCCTGTACCAGTTGCAGCTTCAAGTCTGCAATGTTACAATCCTGCTTTCTGCTTCCTGCTGAAAATTGTGGAAGTCCGCGCGAGGGGGAGCCCCAAACCAGAAATTTACCACCTTCGGATCGGGTGCTCTATGTTCCAAGGAGGGCATGGGAGACATGGAAATACTTGACATTCGCGCTCCCGAGGCTATAATCCTTCGTATATTCTACCATGTTCGCGTCGCCGCGGCCCTAAACCTTTTCGCAAATCATACCATTCTTGCGTCCCCGAGGCAATAAACCCTAGCAAATGACCAATGCTCGCGTCCCGAAGCCATAATCCTTTAAATTAAACAAGATTCGCGTCCCCGAGGCCATAAACCCTTGCAAATTACGCCATATTGGAATTGCCGAGGCCAAGAATGCCCCAAGGCGCCCGAAGATGGTTCCAGTACGGCCCAAGAGGGCCCCAAGAGGCCCCAAGAGCGCTCCAACAGGCCGCCCGAGAGAGCCCCAAGAGGCCAAAATGGTCGAGTTGGCGATGGTTTTTGAAGGATGTTGGCCTTCTCGCATTTTCGGTTTTCCGACTCTCCAAGACAGATCAAGAAGCTTCCAAGACCTTGCCAAGCCAGACCAAGAGGCCTCCAAGAGGGCCCCAAGACGGCCCAGGAGGGCTCCAAGATGGCCCAAGAAGCGCTCAAGACGGCCCGAGAGGGCCCCAAGACGGCCTCAAGAGGGGCCCAAGCAGGGGACCACGAACCGAAAATGATAGATGTGTGCCCCGAGAAGCCCCCAGGAGGCCCCTAGAAGCCGCCAACCAAGACGCCCCAAGAGGCCCCAAGAGGCTCCCAAACCGCCTCTAAGCGGCCGCTGAGAGGCCCCCCACGACACCCCAACACATACAAGAGGCCTCGGACCCACAACCCAGGCACGGTGGCGAGATGGGCCGAAAGCCACAACGCCATCGCCTCGATATGCGCTGATGACTCCGATCCGCCCCGCATGGTGTTCCCAGATGCGCCAAGGCAGCGCCGAGACGCACCGACGCGACTCTGAGATATCCCATTATGGTAGAGAGGGGGCCGGCGGCCGGGGGCGAAGCCCTTACGGATAACCAGAAAGGTTTGCGGCGAGGCGCTGAGACCCTCAAAACTGTAAGAGGCATGTGGTATTATGTGCTGCTTCTGCGTCCGAGGATTCTCGGCTCAAGATTGGGAGGCAGTTTCTGACAGGCCTTCGAAAGAACGATCACGGGCCAGTGCGCCCGAGCAAAAGGGCCAGTAAGCCAAACGGGCCCAGGTTATGACCAAGATTAAGCCAGACTCAGCGGCCTTGAGCGGAATTGAGCAGGACATGCCAGACGTGGCACATGTTCGACCACCCGATGCCGAATTAAGATCCCCATGACTTGCATCCAAATTACGCGTGGCGGTGGAAAGATAGCGTGCGACGTCGACATCCGAAAAGCACGCTGTCCCTGTGAGGGAGGAGGGAGGAGGGAGGAGGGAGGAGGGAGGAGGGAGGGAGGGGGAGGCGGCGGGAGGGAGGAGGAGGAGGGGGAGGGGGGAGGGGGGGGGGGAGGAGGAGGAGGGAGGAGGGTGAGGCGGTGGGGCGAGCCCCCCACGAGGGCCCCTTCCGTGCACGCTACGCCGCCGTGCCAGGGCCTCTTCGGTGCACGCTACCCCCAAAGGTGGGGATTGGCGTGCACGAAGGGGGCCAGCGGCGCCACACTGTGCGCGGTCCTTCCAACGGCAACCTTACGTTGCTTCTGGGGCCTGGCTCTGGGGTAAAAAAGAAAGAAACCAAAAAAAAAAAACGGCACGAGGCGGCCCCTGGAGCTTCGAACAAAACAAAGAACACCCCAAGCCCTCGCTACTCGATGCTCGAACCTCGAACCTCGACGCCGTCGTTGCCGCCAACGGCGTCCCAACCCCCTCCTGGATGTACCCTCGACCCTCGACCCTCGAGGGTGACGACGACGACGACGACGACGACGACGACGACGACGACGACACGCAGAGCGGGCCGCCGCCGAGCGTCAGATACCAAGGAGCCCACAAGAAAGCCCAAGACGGCCTCAAGAGGACTCCAAGACCGATTCGCGGAAGGCCGCCCAAAGGGTCCGCCCCGAGGGGCCCGCGAGGGCTCGACCGAGCCTGCAGCGGGAGAAGCCCTGCAGAACCCTCGCGCCCAGGACGGCGCCTGGACCCCGAGCAGACCCCCAAGAGGGACCGAGGAAACCCCAAAGAAGCAGACCTCCTCATCTTCCTCCTCCTGCTCCTCCTCCTCCTCCCCCTCCTCCTACTACTCCTCATACTCGTCGTACTCCTCTTCCTCCTCCTCCTCCTCCTCCTCCTCCTCCTCCTCCTCCTCCTTCTCCTCCTCCTCCTCCAAGACGCCCCCACGAGGGAAGGAGGAGACCCAAAAGAAGTCCCCGAGAGGCCTTCGCGAAGAGGAGGTGCTCGTTCTGGGGGCCTTCCCGGAGCCACTCACTCCGCTCGTGCGTCAATGCTGCGTCGAGCGTGAGTCGCCTTGAGGCGAATTTAGGTGGAACTTGGATCGAAGTTGCGCCGATCTAAAGTCGAGCCAGGGTCGAACTAGAGTCGAACTAGAGTCGAACGGATCGGTCAGGTGGGCCGTTAAGTGGCCCGTAGGGAGGTCCGCTTGGTGGGCCGCCGCGAAAAAACATAGAACGCAAAACGCAGCGCGATAGAACAACACAAACAAGGAAGAGAGAGAGAGAGAGAGAAAGAGGCACACCGAGAGACAGACAAAAACAAAAGGCAAAAACAACAAACATCGGCTACACGCAAGAGTGACCCTAGGCAAGAGTGACCTTTGGTGCGCGGACCAACGGGGCGCGAGGTGGCCGACTCCAAGCGCGCAAGCAGCCACTACCGCATCGCGCTCAGTGATCGGCGGGACCCCGGTGAGCCCGCACCAGAGGTCACTCTGGCCAAGGGTCACTCTTACGTGTAGTCGAAAAAACGGGGCGGCGCGGCGCCGGCGTCCTCCGGTCCAGGCGCCCTCTCGGGCTGGCGCGGCGCCACGACCCAGCCCCCCTTCTCTGGGGCGGCGGCCCTGTCGGCACTCGCCTCGCCGCCAGAGGAGCGGCGCGCCACCGTGCTCCCCCTCCTCCCTTCTCCTCCTCCTCCCCCGCCTCCCCCTTCTCCAACTCCTCCTCTCCCTTTCTCCCTTCTCCTCCTCCTCCTCCCCGTCCTCCCCCTCCTCCTCCTCCTCCTCCTCCTCCTCCTCCTCCTCCGTCTCTTTCTTTTTATCATCCTCCTCTCTCGTTCCTCCTCCTCCTCCTCCTCTTCCTGCTCCTCCTCCTCCTCCTCCTCCTCCTCCTCCTCCTCCTCCTCCTCCTCCTCCTCCTCCTCCTCCTTGTACGTTGGGCAAACTTGAGCTTCTTGGCTGGAACGCTCTATGAAGCAATGAAATGGAAAACAATGAAATACGCCGACTTGGGCCTGTATAAACAAATTAAGTTTGCCGCCAGTGCGAACATAGGAGGTGCAAAAAGAAATGATGAAAAGATATGTTGCCCATGTGGGCGCAGGATAACTAAGCAGGCGGTCAGAAGGAGAAGGGAGAATGATACCACACAAGACATAATATCACATAACAACAAAGGGATGAGGCGAGCAGGAGGGAACAAACTACACGTGCACAGCAACTACAGGAAGGATCAGGCCTGCCTGTGGCTCGTTAAGTATCAACGTGGGCCAGTTCCGAAAGGGGAGGCCAGGTCGCTTGAACATACACCTCAGCCCCACCAGCCCACTACCAAGTCCCAGAGTCTAGTAAAGTCATTGTATAAAAAGCAGACGACGGTTGAAACTAGGGCGGATATGGGTAATACAAGACTGCTCGGCAGACCACCGTGGGGAGTAACTCACCCCTGCCAGTTGTCAGAACAACGCTATAGCAAAATGGAGTAAGCCGTTGTATCAACCCCCCATCGAAACCCGTCCTCCAACCACCAGAACTAGCCAAGGCTTACCAACAACAAATGAGACAGGCGACTGGTTGAGATGTGGGTGCAAGTTGGGGCGCGCTGCAGCTGTAATGTCACAACATACAGCACGTGACACTGACAACCATAGTGTCCATGAAGCTGTTTCTAACACATGCGTACAGCTGAGCCAACTCCCTGCAAAACAGGAGGGGCCAAATAATGTTACTCCGATCCCTCGTCTTTTTCCTCATCATCCTACTCATCCTCACCGTCATCCTCATCCTCATCCGCTTCCTCATCCCCATCCTCATCCTCATCCCTCCTCTTTCCCCCATCCTCCTCCTCCACCTCCTCCTTCTCCACCTCCTCCTCCACCTCTTCCTCCTTCTCCTCCTCCTCCTCCGCCTCCGTCTCTTCCTCGTTATCTTTCCTGCTCCCCCTCATCTTCCACCTCCTCCGCCTCCTCCTCTTCCTCCGCCTCATCATCCACCTCCTCCTCCTCCTCCTCCTCCTACTGCTCCTAATCCTTTTCTTGTAAATATCAGGATTCGTAGTAGTATCCGTATTATTACCATTGCTACTATACATACATACATGCATGCATGCATGTATACATATATACATACATACATGCATATATACACACGTACATACATACCTATATACATACATACATACCTACATACATACATACATACATGCATGCATGCATGCATGCATGCATGCATGCATACATACATACATGCATGCATGCATACATACATACATACTACATACATACATACACGCATGCCATACATACATACATACATACATACATACATACATACATACATACATGCATGCATGCATGCATGCATGCATGCATGCATACATGCATACATGCATACATACATACATACATACATACATACATACACATAGACATACATACATACATACATACATACATACATACATACATACATACATACATACATCCATCCATACATACATACATACATACAGACAGACATGCATACATACATACATACAGGCAGACAGACAGACAGATATACATATATATGCATATATATATACATACATACATACATATATGTATACATACATGCATACATACATACATACATACATACATACATGCGTGCATACATACATATATGCCTACACACATACATACAGACATGCATGCATGCATGCATATATACACACACATACATGCATACATATATATATACATGCATGCATGCATGTATGCATGCATGCATACATACGTACATCAACTACATACATGCATGCATACAGACATACAGTCATGCATGCATGCATGCATGCATACATACATACATGCATGCATGCATGCATGCACACATACATGCATGCATACATACATACATACATACATACAGACATACATACATGCATGCATGCATGCATGTATGCATACATACATACATACATACATACATACATACATGCATACATACATACATACATACATATTTACATACTTACATAATTACATACTTACATACATACAGTATTACTATTGGTAGTAGCTATTATTATTATTAGTCGTAATATTATTATTAATATTAGTAGTAGTAGTAGTAGTAGTAGTAGTAGTAGTAGTATAAGCATGATTGGTTTTATCATTGGTAGTCGTATTATAATCATTCCTCTTCCTCCTCCTCCGTCTCCTCCTTCTCCTCCTCCTCACCTCCTCTGGGGTGGGGCGCGTTCCTTACCCAATTCACCTCGTCCCCCCTTCTCGCCCGTCCCTCCTACAGGGACGAGGAGGAGGAGGGCAAGGAGGAGAAGGAGGAGAGGAGAGTCAGAAAGAGAGAGGATGTTGATGAGGAGGCGGAGGAGGAGGAGGAGGCGGGGAGAGGAGAGGGGGGAGGATGAGGCAGGCCAAGCTGGTCGGGGTGGGTTTTCGAGCTACACCCCGCCTGTCCCCGCTCTCCCTCCTCCCCCCTGGCGGCGGCCCAGGGGACGGGGGGACCTGGACCCGTGCAGGCATCTCTGGATCACCCCGGCCGATTCGCGCGAGGGCCCGCGCACCGCCTCTGCCCCGCTCGCTCTCGCGCTTGCCCCGATCTGTTGTCCAGCGGTGCGCAGGCATCACCGCTCTGCCTTGGGGAGCAGGGCCCTCTGGATGATGCCCACTCGGTGCCGCTCCGGCCAGAGGCTTGCGTCACTGGCCGCGCCCACCTCCCTGGCGCAAGGCAGCAGAAGGGAGCGGGCGCGCGTTGCACCGTGCTGCACGGTGACGGCACTGGGCCACACGCAGGAGACCCCAGGCAACAGCGACACTTGGTGCGCGGCTCTAGGTTAGGACAAGAGGCCACTCCTGGGAGGTCTTCGTCAGGACGATCCAGGGTTAAGCCCGATTCAGAGGCCTCTGAGCTGGAAATAGGCTGCATGAAGCCCAGGGTTAAGCCCAGGATTGAGCCAGATTAAACGGGAGTAAGTCGGATTGAGCAGGACTGGGCCGGATCCGGCGGAATTAAACCAGATTAGGCTGGTTTCCGATCAGGGATGTGCCAACGCCGATTCGGATTCAACCTCCCAGAGTCTGCATCCTGGTCTTGGTGGCCGCGGAGGGGCCACATCCAAACGCGGCAGGTCGTGCTGAGGAGAACTTGTGGGCCCGCACCAAAGGTAACTCCGGCGAAGGCTCGCTCGCACGCGCAGCCGAGACGCGACCACCTAGGCGACCAGGGGCGCTCTACTTCTCGTGCACTACCAGCGCCCTGGGGCAAGAGGCACTCACTCACCTGAACGGGTGGCGCTCTGGCCGCCACTTTGGAAGTGTCCTGGCACTGCGGGCCGCTCGGCGTCGGGCCGCCCTCCTGCTCGTGCGGGTGGACCCAGGCTCCTCCCCCTCCCGTTCTCCCTCCCCCTGCTCCTTCTTCATCCTCCGTCTCATCCTCCTCCTTAGCCTCCAGGGCGAGGAGAACTGCCAGGCGCAGAGCTATGTTGCCTCACCCTAGACAGCGCAACAAACTTGAGCCTGCCTGTGTCGCCGCCAGAGTCAGATGCTGGTTCTGGGGACACCTTCCTGGAGACATTCGCTCAGCTCGTGCGTCGATGCTGCATCGAACGTCCGTCGACTTGAGTCGAACTTGAGTCGAAGTTGAATCGAACTCGAGTGAACCCTCAGTCGAGCTGGAGTCGAGTCAGATTCGAGCTAGAGTCGGACGGGAGTGGCACGGATCCGTCAAAGTGGACCCCAGAAAGGTCGCCAGAAGGAGCGTCTAACCCGAGACTGAACCGGGGATGCCTTTCTGCCCCCCCCCCCCTGAGAGCACACTGGGCCCCCCTCTGGAGAGACGGGCGTCGGCCGCCGCAGAATCCTCCATTCAAAGCGCCATGGTAGGGGTCCACATGCGAACCCTACCCCACCCTCCCCCTCAGAAATCGTGGGGGGTAGGGGTAGGGTTCGCATGTGGCCCCCTACATGGGGCCGGCGGGCGCTGACACGACAGCTCCGACTCGGTGCTGCATACCGTACGTTGCATCTTCGGGGAGCCTTCTCTGTCCCGTCGCGCCCGCAATCCGTGAAGAATCCGTGTCGAAGACATGTCGACTCTTCGTCGGATACGCGTCGAGTCCGCGTCGGACCACGCGGGTACAAGAACAAAAAAAACGCAATCGCCAGGACTGACAAGGCCACCCGAAGAACCAACGTAACGTACCTTGTTCTGGCTCCTCCCCGCTCAGGAGAGCTGCCCGATGTTCCAGCTCTGGCGGCAGCGACAGCAGTTGCACGATTGCAGCCGCTCATCAGTGCGCAGCGCAAACCGACAAGGAGGCCAGCAGCATGCTCAAATCATAACCTTACAGTCGGCGCTCCTCCTCTTCCCTTCACTCTCGAAGGATCACCTTATCCGCGGATGCTTTATCAACTGCAGGCTTCTCGAAGAACATCCGGGGCTTCACCAGTCTGTCGTCAGAAGCAGCTGAGTCCTCCCTTCTTCCAAGTACGGCCATGAAACAAAGTAAGTGAGTAACGATGGTATCGTCTCTGCATGCTCATACTTAGATGTCTGCATACCTCTACACATGTGTATGCATATACGCATATATGTATGCATGTGTGCATGTGTGCATGTATGCATGCATGCATGCATGCATGTATGTATGTATGTATGTATGTGTGTATGTACGTATGTATGTGTGTTTGTGTGTATGTGTGTGTGTCTGTGTGTATGTGTGTATGTGTGTATGTGTGTATGTATGTTTGTATGTATGGTTGTATGTATGTGTGTATGTATGTATGTGTGTGTATGTATGGATGGATGTGTGTACGTATGCATGTATGTATGGTTGCATGCATGTGTGTGCATGTATGCATGTATGTGTGTATGTATGTATGTATGTATGTATGTATGTATGTATGTATGTATGTATGTATGTATGTATGTATGTATGTATGTATGTATGTGTGTGTGTGTGCATGTATGTATGTATGTATGTATGTATGTATGTATGTATGTATGGATGTGTATGTATGTATGTATGTGTGTATGTGTGTATGTGTGTATGTGTGTATGTGTGTGTGTATGTATATGTGTGTGTTTGTATGTATGTATGCACGGATGCATGAATGTGTGTATGTATGTGTGTATGTATGTACGTAAGTATGCATGTGAGTATGATTGTGCGCTTGTATGTATGTGGGTTTGTATGTTTGTATGCATGTATGTGTGTATGTATGCATGCGTGCACGTGTGTGTGAGCATGCATGTTTGTGTGCATGTGTGAATGTATGTGTGTATGTGTGAATGTATGTGTGTACACGTGTATGTATGTGGATGTGCATGTATGTGTGTATGTATGAATGTATGTATGTATGTGTATGCATGTTTGTTTGTTTGTTTGTATGTATGTATGTATCCCTATTCGCACGTTCCTTCTCCGCTTCGTCCTCCTGCGTATCCTCAGTCTCATTGTCCTTGTTCTCTTTCTCCTCTCCCACCTCCTCCACATCGCCAAAATCCGTGTACATAGTCAAGCTCCAGTGGTGTCTGCTCCGACACGCAACCATCGAAACAACAAGCGTGACTCCAAGGAGGAAAGAGAAGCAACCCAGCAAACAAGAAAGCAAGCACACACGCAAGCAGGAAGACATGCACAGAAGAAACCAAGCATGCAAGCAAGCAAGCAAGCGTACGAGCGGGCAGGCGACCCACGGACCAACCCAGAAACGAGCCCACGAGCAAACACAGCAGAAGAACTCCGACTGGCATGCCCAGACGTCCGATGAATGATTTCTCAATCCGTGGCATCAGAGAACTCAACCCTGGACTCATTTTTGATGGCCCTGGGGCCAGACAACAGCCCCCCAAACGCCAAGATGGAAGAACAACGCCTGGATTGTAATATAAAAGACCCTACGACTACAAACAAAACCAAACAAGTGGGGTGCCTGGGTGTTCGAAACTTCGGGGACGAGCTCTGTCCGAGGAGCACGGCGAGAGGGCAGAGGATCAGCGGCAAAAAGCACCAGGGACACCATGCCGCGGCGCGGCATGCGCGCCCGTCTCGCTGCCCTCCGACGAAGCACGCGCGGCCACGGGCGGCCGTCGGAGAAAACTGCGGCCTCGTAGGGCTTCGGGCCTTCGGGACTTCGGGCTGCGCACAGACGGCCCCCCCCAGGTGGTCCCGGCTGCCCTCAGCGGGCCCCCGCGAGTAGCCCCAGCTGGCCGCGAGAGGCCCTCCGAGTACAGTCAAAAACCCTGATAAGGACGCGCGGCAAGGACGCAAGACCCTTGGAAGGCGAAGTTGGGATTTTTGGGGCGGCGAACAACGAAAACCTCAAGGACGCAAGAGCAAGGAAGAGCAAGGACGCAAGGGTACCCTGAGCAAAGTCGCGCGTCCTTATTAGGGTTTTTGACTGTAGCCCAGGGCAATCTCAACCCAACAACCCTGGGGCGCGGAGCGCCCTAGGGGCGGCGCCGGGGGCGACGGCGGCGGCCCCTGGGGCTCGAGGTGCCTGCTGAGGCCAGCCAGAAATGCCTGGGTGGGACGTCCGTGCGCAACCAGAAGCCCTAGCTCTGCTGCCAGGCTAGCTCTCGGATCATGGCTCGGGTCTCCGGCGGCCGCTCGGGACGAGCCGGACATCCGCAGAGCGCCCTCGGCGAGGCATAAGGGCATCCTGGGGCCAGGAAGCCGCCGAGGACCACAGAGACTTACCGAAAACCTTCGGTGGCAACTCATGGGAGCCTCCCGTGCCACCTTGGTTGGCTCTTGCGAATCGGCGCTAATCGACCCTAGTCGACACTACTCGACGCCAATCGACACCACTCGACGCTAAATCGGCGCTCTCCCACCGACCACCAGACGCTAGCGAACGCAAACGCAATCTTAAGAAGGAATTACGAGGACACATACAAGGAACTCATGATCTGATACCGACATTCCCCCCATTCCATTCGACCCGAACGAGCTGCAGCAACCGTGCCCCTCCCCTGGGGATGTGAGCCTCCTCCTCCCCCTCCCCCTCATCCTCCTGCTCCTCCATCCACCCTCCTCCCTCCACCTCCTCCCTCCTCCCTCCTCCCTCCTCACTCCTCACTCCTCACTCCTCCATCCTCCATCCTCCTCCTCACTGATCCCTCCTCCTCCACCTCCCTCCTCCTCCTCCTCATCTTCTTCTTATCATGCATAGTTTGCTCATTAGTTTTCGTGGTATTACTCTTGTTACTCTTAATATTATGAATGTTATTGTTATGCTGACTAATATGATTACTCATATGATTGTTCATGCTATTACTGGTACGAATATCGTTGGTAGTATTAATATGCTTAGTCGTAGTATTACCATTGTAAACATTTTGCTGATTAAAATCCGCCGGCCCCCTTGTGGGGCCACCAGGCTGTAGGCCGAACGTTCGCAGTTGCCTGTACCAGTTGCAGCTTCCAGTTTCCACTCTTACAGTTCTGCTTCTTGCTGCTTACTGTTCCTTGTTCATGGACCGCGCGAGGGGGGGGAGGCCCAAACGGGCAGGTTTAGCACGCCCTGAGCGCGTGCTCTGAATAGCTGGGGTGGGTAAAATTAACACCCCTCACGCAGATCGGCGGGGTCAGGGTCCAAAAACACATGGGATTCGCCACATTTATGAAATTTGCTGCCACCCCTCACGCAGATCGGCGGGGTCAGAGTCCAAAAACACACGGGATTTGCCACATTTCTGAAATTTGCTGCCACCCCTCACGCAGATCGGCGGGGTCAGAGTCCACAAACACATGGGATTTGCCGCATCTCTGAAATTCGATGGCACCCCTCACGCAGATCGGCGGGGTCAGGGTCCAAAATGCTACATTTCTACTAAAATTCGCTGGCACCCCATCACGCAGATCGGCGGGGTCAGGGTCCAAAAACACACGGGATTTGCCACATTTCTGAAATTTGCTGCCACCCCTCACGCAGATCGGCGGGGTCAGAGTCTACAAACACATGGGATTTGCCGGATTTCTGAAATTCGATGGCACCCCTCACGCAGATCGGCGGGGTCAGGGTCCAAAAACACATGGGATTTGCAACATTTCTAAAATTCAGTGGCACCCCTCACGCGGATCGACGGGGTCAGGGTCCAAAATCACAAGGGATTTGCCACATTTCTGAAATTCGGCGGCACCCCTCACGCAGGTCCGTAGGGTCAGGGTCCGAAAACACAGGTGATTTGCCACATGTCTGACATTCGGTGGCACCCCTCACGCAGATCCGTAGGGTCAGGGTCGAAAAACAAACAGGTCCCGACACTGCTTCACGGCGGCGCCCAGACCTCATGATTTCGCTTTTGCATCTCCCATTATCCGAGACAGGGGGCCGGCGGCATGGGGCGAAGCCCTTACGGATTAGCTGCATTGATCATAATAACAATCGTAAGACGGGCACTAGTAGTATTACCCTCAGTCTTGTTGTTAGTAGTCGTCCTATTCTTATTAGCACTAGAACTCGAAGTATTCCTCATATCAGTCTCTTTGTTATTATGATTAATAGTACTACAATGTTTGGTCATAATGTGATTCTCAATAGTATGCGCAGGCATCTTCTTCCTCCTCCGCTTCCTCCTCTTCCTCCTCCTCTTCCTCCTCCTCCTCTTCCGCCTCCGCCTCAGCCTCCTCCTCCTCCTCTCCTCCTCCTCCTCCTCCTCTCTCCTCCTCCTCCTCTTCCGTCTCCTCCTCCCCCTCCTCTTCCTACTCCTACTCCTCTCTCTCCTCCCTCCTCCTCCTCCTCCTCCACCTCCACCTCAGCCTCCACCTCAAACCCTCCTCCTCGTCCTCCTCCTCCTCCTCCTCCTACTCCTCCTCCTCTTTCCGTCTCCTCCTCCTCCTCCTCCTCCTCCACCTCCGCCTCCTCCTCCTCCTCCTCCTCTCCTCCTCCTCCTCCTCCTCTCCTCCTCCTCCTCCTCCTCTCCTCCTCCTCCTCCTCCCCCTCCCCTCCCTCCTCCTCCTCCTCCGCCTCCGCCTCCGCCTCCGCCTCCTCCTCCCCTCCGCCTCTCCTCCTCCTCCTCCTCCTCTCATCATCATCATCATCATCATCATCATCATCATCATCATCATCATCATCATCATCATCATCATCATCATCATCATCATCACATCTCATCATCAATCATCATCATCATCATCATCATCATCATCATCATCATCATCATCATCAGCATCATCATCATCATCATCATCATCATCATCATCATCATCGTCATCATCATCCTCATCATCATCATCATCAGCAGCAGCATCATCAACATCATCATCATCATCATCAGCAGCATCAGCAGCATCAGCATCAGCATCAGCATCGTCATCATCAGCATCATCATCATCAGCATCATCATCAGCATCATCTTCATCATCATCATCATCATCATCATCCTCATCATCATCATCATCATCAGCAGCAGCATGATCATCATCATCAACAACAACATCATCATCATCAGCAGGAGCATCATCAA